TTCTCAGTTCCTTTTCAGGTGGCCACAGTATAAAGCCCTTCCATCCTATCCTGGGTCCCAACTGAGGCACACACAGGTGAAAAGGATTCTGAAGACCAGGCTAGAGCTGTGGTGCCAGGTGAAGGCCAGGGACAAAAGGAACTGTAAGGAACATGTCAGGGGGAATAGGGTGGGTGGAGGGCATTTGCGTACACATGATCACGATGGTGTGCCTATGCCTGCCCAGGGCCACAGGTTTGCCCACTGGCCAAGGGGACCTGAGTGCACAGCATTATCATGGCAGTCAGGCTGTCCTCATCTTTTTTGGAGTAAAAAGAAAATGGGGATACACAGGTACCCTCCTTCCATAGGGAAATTCTTTAAGCTGCCTTGAGGGAGGCCTGGAAGATGTGAGCTGCTGGAGACATGGAGTCTGCTGGTCAGGCTGGAGATGACCTTGAGAGAGCTGGTGTGTTGGAGAGGAGGGAGCAGGAGGAAAGAGCAGCTGGGAGGATGCAGATGGGAAGGGGCGGGGCAGAGCCAAGCCGCTTGAATCAGGCTGTCTTCTTCCTGACCAGGAGAGAAAAGGACACAGACACTGGCATGTGGCAGTGGGCAGTTGGGAAGAGAGTGTCCTTGAGCTGCAGGGTTCTCCTGAGCTGAGATCCCTCACTTGTGTTCTCTGAGGATGTAGCCCCACTGTGCTGGCAGCCAGCTCACTGGGTGGTACCCCTTTCCAGTCTGGGGGATGCCCTCCTCAGTCTTTGCATCTCAAAGCACTTTGAAGAGTTGGGGATATAGCTTAGTTGGTGGAACCTTTACCCTGGGTTTGATTCCTAGCAGGCAAAAAGAAAAAAAAAAGCACTTGGAGATAGGGCATTGAACCACAGCTCTGGTGCTCTAGACAGGGTTTCCTGCTTCTCTTGCAGGAATTCCTGAGAAATGATGGCTTTCCCTACAGTATACTCCTCTTTGTTTATTTGGTTTGTTGTTTGTTTTTGAGACAGGGTCTCACTATGTACCTGACTATCCTAGAACTCTCTATTTAGACCAGGCTGACCTTGAATTCACCTGCCTCTGTCTCCTGGCTGACTTTGAACTCCTGATTCTTCTACTTCAACCTGCTGAATACTGAAATGACAGCTATGGGCCATCAAGCCTGGCTTCCCATCTTGTTTTTCTACGTCCTATGCTGCTGGTCATGTTTCTCTCAGCTATAGCATAGCACATGACCTCCCAAAGTAGGAGTATCACTTTATTTTTCACAGAATCGAACTATGGTGTCAGATCCCAGATGTAAAAGAACTCTAAAGTACAAATTTGCAGTGTGAATGACCTCACAGGGGAAAAGGCTAAAGGAAAGGGAAGCAGGAAGGAAGCACAGGCAAGGTTAGGTGAGGAAACCTCCCAGGCTCCTCAGCTCTGTTTGGCTCTAGCCCCTACAGTCTCTCCCATCCTCCCTCCTTCCTCTGGAGCTGGATGAGCTTTGGGGAAACTGGAGCTGAGGACAGGGTGGTGCAGAAGGAGGTCACTGTAAGCTCATCTTCTGCTGCAGATAAGAGAGGCCCTGCCTCTTCCCCTGTACCTCCTTTCTCAAAGCTTCCAGAGCTGGCAAAGGTGGATTTCCTGAGGTTAGGAACCTCCCAAAGGCCTCGGGCCAAGGAGGGAGGTGCTGCCCTTCCTTCAGGGCAGGCATTGGAGCCACAAGTGCCCTTGCCAGGGTCAGAAGGAGTTCAGTCAGGCCTTACCCAGGGTCTGAGGTAGGCACTTGTACCTCTTGGACGAGGTTGCTCTTAAACAAGGCTAGACTGCTCTCTGGTGTGGGCCCTGAGGCACTTGGGCTGGTTGCCATGTCTGCCTGGACCCTGAGGCCCCCTGTGAGAGGCTTTGTTCTCTCAGAGCCCCTACCCTCTTGCCCAGTCTCACAGCATTATCATTTCACAGGATGGGGGTGGGGGGTGCCACTGGCTAAAGAAATACTCTCTGCCTGCCACAACATGACTCAGCTCAACTTTTTCTGGTCCTGAGCAAGGCCGGTCAGGTTCTTTCACATAAGACCATGATATAACAGCTGCTAGGAGCAAGTTAATCCCTACAACCTTCTCTGTAGTGGAGGGACAGATGCTCTCTTTAGAATTCTTCAGTGAGTGGGCCAACAAGGGTATTCTTTCTGTTCCCTGGGTTTCCCTAGCCAAAATCTGGGATTAGTCAGGAGATGGCTGCAGAGGTGTGGCCTTGGAGAAATCTTACCTGGTGTATAGGATGGACTTAGGGAAGACAATCTGCCTCCTTGACTGGCACTTGACTGCAGTGTCAGTCCAGGAGTGTGCAATCAGAGCTGGACCTTAGATCTCTGGGTCCCCAATAGATGGACCTGGGTTTGAGGTTTGGCTGAGCCACTTCTTTGCAGTTTGAAAGTACACCACACCCTTTCAGAGGCCTGTTTCCTCGTCCCCATCAAGGAGATGAGCTTCCTTCTTGTCTAACATGGCTTTGGGATTAAATGATTGAGGTGCATACAGCTTTCATGGCACTGAGTGGCAAATTCCAGAAGCCCAGGAATCACCAGTCTCCTCCTCTCACAGAAGAGTGGGAACTATAGGACTTTCTTAGATACAAGTTCATCGTAGGTGTAATGTAGCCTCTGCATTCAGGAGCCCTTGTTTCAGAAAATATTATATATATATATATGTATATGTATATATACACTATACATCATACATACATATATAAGTTATTAGTGGGTTCCATTGATCCAGGATTTCTTGAAGCTAGGGATTTGGAGGCTTTCAGCTGTTGGATACCTGAGTCTTTTCACAATCCAGTAAAGTGCAATGGAAGGTGATAAGGGATGTGGATTGGCATAGGACTAATGGGGGGGCGGTGAGAGTGATAGAGAAACACCTACCCCGAGAAGCGGGGTCGGGGAGAGCTGGGGAGGTGGCTCAGTTATTAAAGTGCTTACTATGTAAGCCTAAAGACCTGAGTTCAGATTCCTGGAACTCACATTAAAAGAAAAAAAAAAAAAAGAATTTGGATGTGGCAGTGAGACAATGGAAACCAGTAGCTAGTGTCTGTAATAATCCTAGTGCTAAGGAGACAGAGGACTGGGGCTTATTGGCCAGCAAGTCTAGTCAAATTGGTGAACTCCAGGGAGGGACTCTGTCTCAACAAAGAAGGTAGAAGGACTAGAGAAATGGCTCAATGGTTAAAAGCACTTGCTGCTCTTGCAGAGATCCTGGGACCAAGTTTGGTTCCCAGTAGCTACATAGCAGCCGACAACCCTCCAATTCCAGTTCTAGGGGATACGACGTCTTCTTCTACCCTCATAGGCATTGCACACACATGGTACACCTACATGCATGCAGGTGAAATACTCATACACATAAAATAATAAAAATAAAAACATGGAGAGCAACCGAGGAAGATAACTAACATCATTGTCCTCTGACTTCCACAGGCATGAACACACATGTGTATACCCCCACACACATACAAAAGAGACAGAAACATACACATAGGAGAGAGACAGAGTGAGAAAGAACAGGAGAGCGAGTGAGAGAAAGAGAAACTGGTCTCCTGTAGAAGCTCTTTGGGAACCAGTGAGAGCTTTAGTGTCTCTGGGAGGTGCTCCCCTGGGTGAGGTGAGCTGGAATCCTGGGTCTCAATGAGGGAAGGCAGAGGCCTCAGCCAGGGCATGAAGGCACCTCTCAGCACCCCTAAGTCTTCCCACTGACAGCCTAGAGTCAGTATGTAGAGTCTCTTGTCTAAGCTTCAGTAAGCATGTGAGATGGGCAAGTGATTTATCTTCTTCAGGTCTTGATTTCATCCAAAGAGTAGGAACAGTAATCCTTGGCTTGTCTGCCTACAGGATTATGGTGAGGATCAAAGTGCTTGCTGAAGTGCTTGCTACATAGGAGTTGGGCAAGGCAGATAAATGCTTCTCTTCCATGTGGGCCACAAGAAACACCTATCCCTTCAGGCTCAGAGACCACTGGGACCATAAGTGGTTGCCTTGGCAACCATGAGTTGGCAGGCTCCTATTCCATCTTCAATTTCAGTTTAAATGCCGGTTCTGCAAAGAGCTTCCCCAGACCCTCAGACTTGGTCCCCTCTTGTCGGCATTATCTGTAGACTCCCTTTATAGCACTTCTGAGTTGAATAGTGTGGTTGCCTGTGTGATTATCTTCTGTACTAGATCCTAAACTTGATGAGGAAAAAAGAGTAAGTTTCTTTTGCACAGCTTCTTATTAGTGACCACATGCTGTGTCAGGCACACAGCAGGTATGTGCAGAAAATCCTACTGAATTATCAAAGACCTTACCTGTCTCATGCCTCTTCCATGCCTCAATCAACACCAGGTGCCCAGTGCCATCCAGGTAGAAGAACCAGGGTAGCAGGGCATGATGGTACTCGTTTATAATCCCAGCACTGGGGAGGCTGAGGAAGGAGGATCACAAATTCAAGGCCAGGCTGGGGCTATATAACAAGAATCTTTCCGTTGGTGGGGAAAAAAGGGCTGAGCATGGTGACCTGTACCTTTAATCCCAGCACTGAAGCAGAGGCAGAGGAAGATCTCTGTGGGTTCTAGGCCAGCTTGATCTACATAGCGACTTCCAGTCCGGTCAGGGGTACATGGTGAGACCTTATCTCAAAAAAAAAAAAAAAAAAAATTTTTTTTTTTTTTGCTGTCTTTTTGAGATAGGGTCTCCCTGTAGCCCCAGCTGTCCTGGAACTCACTGTGTAGACCAGGCTGGCCTTGAACTCACAGAGATCTACCTGCCTCTGCCTCCCAAGTGCTGGGATTAAAGGCGTGCACCATAAGGAAGTAGAGGGAAGTGGTCCTCTCTTGGGAGATAACAGTTACTCATCTTCCCATTCTGTCCGCATCACAGTCCCCGCCCAGGCTTCAAAAGCTGTAGATAATTGTTATATTTATTTATTTGTCTTTGCGCAAGGCTGCCCTCTGCTGGTTGTACATGCAGGAGCGAACAGTAAGGATGGACTCCAGAGGCCAGAAACCCGGAGGCTGAGCAGGCTGAGGCTGGCCAGCAGTCAGGGAAAAGTGCTTCCAAGAGGGTCTGCAGGTGAGACGTCAGGTCATTTCTCTCTCCTTCTGGATGGTTCTCTCCAAATGAGACAGGAGGCCCTAGAAAGAGCAAGAAATTAAGACACGCCCCATAGAAATGGTACACATCTCCAGTGGGGAGGGCAGGGAGGGTCTGGGAGGACTAGTCTAAACAGCAGTTCTTTCTCTTCAGTGGTACTGGTAGGCTTCTAACAACCAGCGCTCAAAACAACACACACACACACACACACACACACACACACACACACACATTAGATTCTAAGCTTGATTTGCAGCATTTGTGGATTTCCATGGGTTAAGCCTCTCACCATGGCCAATTTCAGACTACCAACATGACGTCGTCACCAAATGAGTCAGGAAGAGCACCCGGTACCATGCCATTCTATGGACTCTTTACCATGCTGCTGCCGTGGTCAGAAATATCTTCAAGATATTCAAACTGTTGGGAAGTGATGAGTTTTGAATATTTGTTACATTTGTTTTCAATATAATATATTTAATTGTGATGTTACATAATATAAATTTTCATAATGGCAGTGTTTAACAACTGAGCAGCAAAATTCTGGGAAATGTGAGCACCAGTCTAGCCAGCCTGGTAGTAAGAGCTGGCTCCAGCACTCCCAAGCCGCTCTTCTCCCCTGCCTCCACCCCTGCTTCTGCCCCTCTGTCTCCCTCTCTTCCTCCTGTTTCTATTTCATGGCTGTCCTGGAATTCTGTGTGGGAAGAAGGAATGGAGAGGGTGGAAAAGATTTCTGCAGCAGATACTGCTGATTTCTGAGTCAGGAGCCTTGAGGTGTTAAGGAAAGAGGAGGGAGGAATACAAATTTGGTGGCTGAAGGACAACACTCTGTGTGTGCACAGGAGCTTGTGTGTGTGTGTGTGTGTGTGTGTGTGTGTGTGTGTGTGCGCATGCGTGTAATTTTGCGATTATGGCTCATGAGGCCATCTGATACTTTGGCTAAATGAAGAGCACTGTTTAGATGCAGGGAGCCTCTGAGCACTCTACCTGGGAGGAGAGGATCAGTGGCAGTTAGGTGAAGCAGCCTATGGGGAGCCGTGGCAGACAAAAGTAGGCATCTGGGAAAAGGCTCAGATTGATGGGGTTGCCATCCAGGCGGATGTCTTCCAGCTGCTGGCAGGTGTATCTGTGCTCCCTGGTGTCACAGAAGGCGTCTCTCTCCATGGTGTCTATCTTGTTATTCTGGAAGGGACAGCACAGCTAGGCCACCCCTAGAAGTTTCATCCCCAGGAAGCACTGAAGGATCACAGCCTCATGTCCAGCTGGAGAAACCGAGGCAGGTAGAACAGGCCACAGGGCCAAAAAGAGGACACTTGTGGAGGACAAAGAGAGAGAGAGAGGGAAAAGATTAGGAAAGCTGAGGGAAGAAGGGGAGAGTGGAAGGGTGAGGCCCTAATGGGAAGAGGAGAGGCCGAGGAAGGCAGACCAGGAGGATGCAAAGGTAGGTGGGTGGGATTGAACACAGACATGGAAGGAGAGGAAATGTTCTGAACAGAGGTGTAGAGTATCATTTAGACAGACCGCGCCCCGTCCCCTTGTGGCCCTGAAGTCCCCTGTTACCTGCTTTCCACCCTCTGCTGCCCTTGTTCTGACCAAGGCTCCTCACCTGTAGGTGCAGAGACCGCAGGCTTAGGGGCAAAGGTTCTGGGATGGAATCCAGCAGGTTATCTGCCAGGTAGAGAAACTGAAGCTTCTCTAGCACCTGTGGGGACACAGAGTATGGGACACTGGTGGGTCCTGTCAGGCCCTGGCCATGAGGAGGTACCCCATGAGGCCAGAGTCAGGTAGCCCTATTTGTGGGGTGGGGTGCCTCTTTTTTTTTTTTCAGAAAGAATCTTGCTACATATCTTAGACTGACTTGGAATTCTCTATACAGCACAAGCTAGCCTCAAACTTGTGACCCTCCTGCCTCATCTTCTCAAGTCCCGTGATTACAGGTATATACACCACCAAGCCCAGCTCAGGATGCTTGTTCTTTAAGTAGCTTACAGTAACTCCGATGCCAAAGGAAAGCTGTTGTCATTGAGTGCCTCCAGTGAGGGAGCAGGAAGGGGTGTTAATGCTGACTGGGAAGAGTAGAGGAAGGCAGGGACAGGTAGAAAGGAGAACCAGGGGACGTTTTGGCTTAGCCTCAACTTCACTGCCATCAGTGAAAAGTCTCTCAATGTTTCACCTAGAATGGATATGGAGAGCATGTTCAGAGGATGCCAGACCAGCAGAACAGAACCCCAAGGCATACAGAGGCAGACTGAGCATGTAAGTCTGACAGCACTGTCAGAATCAGGGAGGCTGATCCGAGAGGGACTTGGGGAGAGATTGGCCTGCAGGGGGCTCAGAGAGCAGGAGTAAGCTACCATTTACGGAGCATCCATTCTGTGTTTAATCATCCTATGCTCTGGGTAAATGCTGTGTGTTTAATCTTGCAGCAGCTGTGTCAAGTGGGCATTATTACCCTCTTTTTATAAATGAGGAAACATCAGAGGTGACTCACTCAGTGAACTTGGGTCCTCTGCTTCAAAGTCCCTGCCTTTTCCAGGCTGAGAAAATAGGTCCGAGTGAAGGCAGAGAAGCGCCTCCTAATATGGAAACAATCTGGATGTTTCTGAGGGCCAGAATAGCCAGGGAGCTCAGTGACAGGCAGTCCCAGTGCTTTCTGTACAGCTGGGGAAACCGACACCTGCAGGCTCATAGCAGGTTTCTTACCCTACCCACGAGTAGCATGGACAGTTTTCTGTGACCTCCTCGGGACCACTGCACACAGAAATCTGGGAGAGTGGAAGATGTTCTCAAAGGGGCGTAAAGACAGAGCAAGCACACAGCTTGGTGACACACTCTTGTTATCTCAGGGCTCTGGAGGCTGAGGATGAGTTTGAGGCCATCCTGGACTACATGTCTTATCTGTAAAGAAATAAATAAATGAAAACTGCAGTTCTGACTTTATCCATTTGATACTTCTAAGCATGAATTTGTTTGCACAAAAGCTCTTGCTATACTCAAGCACTGCTTAAGGACAGGGATACATTCTGAGAAATGTGACATTATGCAATTATTTACCCAAACTGAGAGAGCTATGGTGTTAGTAGATGACACAGTCTTAGGGTACTACCATCATGCATGTGGTCCAGTGCTGCTGACAGAAATGTTGTCAGGTGGACTGACTGTACTTGAGAGAGGCAGAGAGGCTGGATGTGAGCAGCTGGTCTTTGAAGACCCTTCCTAGTCCTGCAGCGGGCATGCTGGGAGATGCCAGTCTTATTCACATTGGCTTGTCTTCAGTGGAATACATCTTGGGTTTTTCCTAGCCCATATGATCATATTTGTGTCATATGACTTAGCTCTTCCCATCAAATCTGGCCAATTAATAAACCATCAGATTGTGTCTCTTGAGAATTTGATCATCAAGAAACAGTGACCAGTCACTTTGTGGCAGATTTTAGGAATAAAATGATATATAGGAGTTGGGGTTGGAGTCAACACCATATCAGCCAAAGCCACAGATAAGTTTGAGTTTTCAAGGGCAGAACTGAGCCTGTCTGGGATGCTGGTGTGCAGACAGGTAAATGGAGCAGATGCATAGAAAGAGGCAAACATTAGAGACAATGTCCCCACAGACAGAAGGGAGAGTTGCTGATCTTGGCTTCTGGCCCCACTGTCCCCAGTAACAGGTTCCCGAGACCTGACAGCCCTGTATGTCCCATTCACTGAGACTCCAGAGGCTCCAGGAATGGCATGATGTAAAACACTTTTTTCTTGAGTCAGAATCAGTCTCTTCCAATTGGAAGAATGTTTAATAATCCACAAATGAAAGAGATAGAAAAATGGACGTTGGTTTTTATGCTTTAAGACCAGGGTTGCAGCAGGGATAGATGTGAGGTCAGAGTACATGGGTAACACAGGTGTTGCTTAATGGGCCGAAGCCCTGGCTCACCCTGAAAGCCTCAGGCTGTATCCCAGAGCTCTGCAGCCGATTCAGGCGGACATCCAGAAACTCAATGCCACTGGGCAGCACAGGCAAGGCTGCCAGCTGGTTCTCTGTGAGGATCAGATCCTGCAGGGCAGGCAGTGGACGGAGGGCATCATTGTGGATGGAGGAGATGGAGTTACTGGAGAGGTCAATTCTTTTCAGTTTTGCTGAAAGATGTTGGGGGAGAACAAAGAGTGAAATGAGCATACCACCTTTCCTGGCCCCCTGTGGGATATGCTTGCCTCCATGCCTGCCCCATCCCTCCATGCCTGCCCCATCCCTCCATGCCTGCCCCATCCCTCTATGCCTGCCCCATCCCTCCATGCCTGCCCCATCCCTCTATGCCTGCCCCATCCCTCCGTGCCTGCCCCATCCCTCTATGCCTGCCCCATCCCTCTAAGGGGATTCTAACTAGCACACTACTCACACCAGGTCCAAACAATAAGAAACAAGGCTAACTCGGTCTCCTTAGGAAACTCTAGAGTTCCTCAACATTTTCCCCCAGAGTTCTGGTTCTGTGGTGACTACCCACCTTAAAAGAGTCCCCTAACAACAAAAACTAACAAACTCAGGAATCCTTGTTTCCCTCCCCCCTGCATGGGGGACACTGAAGACCTGAAAGTCTGTCAGCAATTATAGGTAGATGCTAGAGGAAAGCCCAGGTCTCCTGGCTCAAGCGGGGAACAAGGTAGAAAGCAGCAAAACAAAGCAAGAGCAAAGAGCTCTGTGAACAGCCTCGGTGCGGAAAAGAGGTTTTGGGTGGTCTAGCCCGGAGGCCGACAGGTATAGTTGCTGGAACATCCTAGAAATGTTGGCTCAGCACACCTTCCTTTTCCCACCTCCCTTTGGAAAAAGAAATGAGAGCAGGCAACTTCTACCACTTAAACTCTTCAAGGTAAGGACTTAGAAAGATCTGGGGCCCTGTTCATTTGTCAGTTGGAAAGACCTGGGAGCTAACAGTTTCTGGTCACTGCACCCCAGCAGTCCTCTCTGCCTTGCCACCTCCCCCTTGTCTCAAGGTATTACATACTCAGCCTTTTGAAGTCTCCAGCTTGGATGTGACTGATGTGATTGAAGCAAGCATACAGGTAGGTAGTCATCTGGGGAAGAGGAGGAATGTTCTCGAGGTCCGCATCATCACAGTACACAGAGGAACCAAGGCACACACAGATCAGGCAGGTGGGCAGGCCTGGTCAGAGAGAAGACAGAACAAAGGGAGATCTCTGGTCAGACTCCCTTCAGCCTCTGTGGCCAGTGGTCCTTTCTTCAGTGAGTGTCTGAGCCACGGGCATCTGTGTCTTTTGGATGGCATGTGTTGTTGTTGTTGTTATTATTATTATTAATCGTTGCCCAGAACCACTGACACAGTGCATCCAGACAATACGCTTGGTTGCTGTCAGTCTGTCACTCGGTCCTCAGGCAAAGAGAGGGTTCACCTTAGTACAGTTCAGTGTAAGCCAGTTGGTTCTTTCATCAGACTCTGGTCCTTCGTTGGTTCTCCTGAGTCTATGTCAGGACCTCTGTCTGTTTCTTTTCCATAGACCCCCAAAGGTACAGTGTAGATGAAAAAAGCCAGAATTACATGGAATAATCAGTGGATGCTGCCTCTGCCAGCTGCCTTATGAAGAGGAGTTAGACATGAACTGTGTCAAGATGGAATGGACAGTGTCTGCCTAGCATCCAATTTCCCTTGGTATGGCATCCGCATCCAGATTTCCCATCAGGAAACAGTCTTCCCCTGTTCTCAGCCCATTGGTCCATCTCTACACCCACTGATCAGTAGACTCACCCAATTGACCAATGTTAATGTCACTTGTAACACAAGGCAAAGAGATTACCAGGCGATCTATATCAAAGAAGCACTGATAGAAAGGAAATAGGCCCTAAATGAAAGAGCAGCGGTGATCAGCAGGAGCAGAAGGGGGCCCCAAGCACTTTTTATCCCAAGGCAGGTCCAGCTGAGACTCTTTATGGTTTCTTTAAGCCTAAAACTATGGCTTGGAGAGCTCATGCTCCCTCCCGCCCCCCACTGAACACCCCCGCTGACTCAGTACCCAAGGTACACACCAGCAAACATCCCAGAGGAGAACAAGACATCAGAGTACCAGCAAGTCCGTAATAAGCTGCATTCCTTCTGTGCCCTGGTTTCTGATCCCTAGCAGAGTGCTGAGCCCTTGCCATCAACAATGCTGTACCCCAGTCCCCTGGAAGGCACTGGGGAGGGCTGCTAATGAGGTGAATTTGGAGCTGAAGTCAGTGTGACTGCTTCATGTGCCCCTGTGCCAAGCGACAGCCACTAAGTTATTTATTCTTCTTTCCAGGCTTTTAATTGTCTCAAATTACCATTCAACCTGCTCCCCAAGTGATGCTGTTTAATTAAGGTAGGGTGGCTTGCTAGGATGTAGAAGTTTTTGCTTGCTTGTGCGCGTATGCAAAAGTGTCAGTGTTGACCAGCCACTCCTATTAGTGGTGTTGAGTGTTCTTACTATGGCAATCTCCCTTCTTATTACTGCTGGCAAGGGCCAGCCTGAACCCAGGATTCCCTGGCCTTAGCCCTCACCACAGTCCACTTTGGGACTGGACGACTGATTCTGGTTCGTGACTGCTTGGCCTGTGATCTATGGATACTGTGACCTTCTGATCCGTACTTACCATGGCTACTCTGGGAGCCCAGCAGGAGTCACTGCGGAGTTTGATGATGTTGTTGTTGGAGCTGTAGTACTCTGGTTGGGCCTAGTCCTTTTTGGAAGAGCCAGGCTGCTCACATTAATCTGGAAGTATAGCACATAACACACCAAAGGCCAGTCTGTACCTGAGATGGACTTACTTTGGTCTCTGGAAACCTAGTGACCAAGTTCAAACATGAGGTAAGAAGGACAGGGTAGAGAGAGCAGAAAGAGTGAGCAGGGAGGGATCTCAGAGAGCATGGCATATAGCAACTTCTGCCTACCAGTGAGGAAACCGAGGCCAAGAAAGGAGAGGGATGAGGATCAGGTACCCAGCAGGCATCAACGCAAAACTGAAGTCTGGGTTTCTGGATTGTCCAGGATTGTACACTCTCCGTGCTCTCTGGATTGCTCAGGCTGGCACACACCCCTTCCTCCACCCCAACTCGGCTCACATCACAAATGGGCAAAGGCTTCTGGAATCACATATCATGCTGCACAGGTCAACACCTGCAGAGGGCAGGAGAGCTAAGGAGAACTTCGGACTGGAGGGCAGGCTAAGAAAAGAGATGAGCTAGCGTTTCTCTTTCTAGGGAGACCATGAGAATACTGCAGACCGTCACCCCATTGAAACATGACTCATGATCCTATTTGACCACAAAGAGGGATGTATGACTTCAGGGGAGAGAAGGCCTTACCAAATGTGCCACATGGACATTGGAGATAGACAGTGTCCTCCTCTTAGTATCATCATGTAAGTGACAAGTTCCTATGGAGGACCAAGAAATGTGCCACATGGACATTGGAGATAGACAGTGTCCTCCTCTTAGTATCATGTAAGTGACAAGTTCCTATGGAGGACCAAATATTTGCACCTTAGGACCGAGAAGACAATGGAGTTGGTAAAGTATTTGCCTTATAAGCATGAGGACATGACCTTGATCCCCAGAAGCTCTTTTTAAAAGAATCCAGGGGCTGTGGCGAAAGCTTATAATCTCAGTGCAAGGGAGGCTGATAAAGGAAGATCCCCGAGCTAGCCCACCTTACTTGACAAGCTCCAGGCTAATTAGATACTCTGCCTTAAAAACGAAACAACACAACACAAAAAACAAATCAAGCCAAACAAAACCAAAACACAAGACGGAGAGCTCCTAAGGAATAACACCCAAAATGTCTTCTGGTCACACACACACACACACACACACACACACACACACACACACACGTACACATGTACCTACATACGTATGAAGAAACACATACAAAGAATTTGCATCTTATACAGAGTTGGGAGCTTGAGAGACTTGTATTATGGGACAGATGGAGAGGGACTTGGCCCCTGACCCCTGTTTCTTTCAGGAAATGCAAGTTAACCGTGTTCCCTCATCTCAGCAAGCTGGTCCCCATAGTCAACAGGTTCCTTGTAGTTGCTCAGGTCAGTGACCTCACTGTAGTCATCATTGTTGTCGTCAAGGCTCAGGACATAGTCCCCCACGTGCAGAACAGCAAAAGCATCACCTTTCTCAGGGCTCTGCTCCTTGCTCTCCTTTGGGACAGACGCTGTTCCTGCCTCCTGCAGCACCAGGGCCAGTAGACTCAGGATAGCTGGGAGCCTCATGGGGTCCTAAAGGAGGAACAGGAATGGGAATGGGCTGAATCCCTTTGAGGTGCATCCTGGGGTAGACAGTGGAAAGGCTGAGCTCTCTAGAGCTTTGTGGGAAGGGCCCATAAAATTACCCAACCTCTTTCATGCTTGTACATTCTAGCCATTTATCATACACTTATTCAGCACCTCTTCAGTCTCTTGCTGAGGCTCCTTAATGACTGGGCTGTGTCTAGGGGCATCTTCATCAGGCACTCCATAGCACCTCACTATGTGGTGATCACTCACCCAGGCTTCTGAACACAGCTGCCACGGGCTTCCTTACTCATCTAGTCACAGACAGGCTTACACAAGTCCCAGGCACACTGAGCACATACTTGTGCATTTATACAGATGTTCTCTCTTCAGCAACCCCATGCTCAAAATAAAACTCTCCATTAAAAAGCTAGCTTTAAAGACGTTACATTAGAGACTTTTGTTTTTGAGATGGGATCTACTATCGTAGGGTATCCTAGGCTGACTTCAAACTTGCTATGTAGTGGAAGATGACCTTGAACTTCTGATTCATCTGCCTCCACCTCCCAAGTATTGGATGACAGACGTGTATCACTATGCCTGGTTTATGAAGAGCTGGGTATCAAACCCAGAACTTCATGTATGCTAGACAAGCACTCTACCAACTGAGCTATATCCCTAGCCCTACTGTGGTTTACTAAAAGATCATTCAGTCATGCATTTACTTAAGCATTTATGGGGTATACATTAAGTTGCAGGCTCTGGACTTGCCTCTGGAGGTTCAGAAATGAATAAGCCCTTTTTAGGAACAACTAGTCAATTTGGAGACAAGACTTATATTTTGACATACAATGTGGAAAAGAAAGACTGCTTATTCAAAAAATAGAAATATAGCTTTTTATTTAATTTTTTAAAAATAATTTGTTTTTTAAAATTATTTATTTAATAGCCATATAATTAGAAGAAGCATTTCATGACAACAGCACTGACATATTCAATAACAATTTCCAGAGCTAAGATGCATCTGTTTCAAGATTGGCTGTAAATTTTTTTATTTTTAAAAATATTTTATGTATTATTATTTTTATTTTATGTGTATGAATGTATTGCCTGCACGTATGTGAGTGCACCTGTGTTGTGCAATGCCACGGAGGTCAGAAGAGGGAATCCGATTCCGTTGGAACTGGAGTTAAGGACAGTTCGTAGCTGCCATGTCGGTTCTGGGAATCAAACCCGAGTCCTCTGCAAGAGCAGTCAGTGTTCTTAACCGCTGAGACATCTCCTCAGCCCCAGAAATACAGCTTTTCAGAAATATAATTGTAGAGACAAAAAAGAGTTCCTGTGTGGTTATGGGAGGATGTTTGCATGAAGAAAGGTCTGTAGACATCTGTGTATCTATGTGCGTGCATACTGGTGACTGCACATATATGATGTGCATGAGTTTTGTGCAGCCACCCATATCTATGCAGACAGGTGGAATGCTGCCTGTGGCATGGGTGTTGAAGTGCAGGTACCACCACAGCCACTGTATACCTGATCATACATGCCTCCCAAAGCCAGCTGCACAGATTTCTGAATTTCATCTGGGCCAAAGATTAAACCCCCAACAGTAGTAAGAGGTATGATGTCTCTTTGCTTCCCTTACACTCCTCATTCCAAACCAAACTAAGTCCTAAGGCAGCTTACTGACCACTTGGAAGTGTCCTCCAGTGTCTCTGATCAGAGCCTTGACTTCTCCCCATTCTCTCTGCCCAATCCCTGTCCCAGTCCCCATTCTGTCCCCTTATTTGCATACCAGTGGGCCTGAGGCCTCCAATCTTGGACCTTACCTTTTAGGTGTTTTTAGATGCTGTTCGTTCCTTTGGTCCTACAGCTTCCAGGGAGATGAGGGGTCTGATGGAAAGGTTAACTGCCTGCCTGCCTGCCTGCCTTGGAGACAGGGCACGCCCTCACCCACTGGCCAAGGGGAGGGCAAATAGTTGGCCCAGGAAGCAATGTGTCTACTTAGATTTCCCATTCTTGGAAATGTCCTGCTGTTTCTCTTCCTTTCTCCTCAGGGGCCCTTTGCTTAGTGAACAGGAATTCCTTGTCCTACCCCACCTTCACCCCTCCCCTTTGCCATTCCTTCTTTTTCTCTCACTCTGCCCCTTTCTTTCTAGACTACCCTCCTAAAAAGGCCAGATATTTTAGGGGAACACAGTCAGATTAGTTTTCCAGAAGGACGAACCGAGGTTATATGGAAGGATGGAGGCTTGCCCTTCTAGCAGCCCCCAGACCCCAAGTCCAGGACTGATGACGCTTGACTTCATAGATGAAATCCAAAGAGAAAAAGAGGCTGGGGTGGGCTGAGGAACCCAAACCAGCCCCATGCTCAGAGCCCCCAGGAACCATATTGAACAAATCACCAAGGAAGGTCTTAGTGCTTGGGAAACGCAAAGGAAGGTGAATAGGGGATGGGGTGGGATTTGAGGACCAACTTCTAGTTCACAGAAGATGGTCACCAAAGATGACACAGAAAGTTCTAACTCCTCTTGAAGGAAAGGACCTGTTCAGGAGTGGGGCTTTGACATATGAACACCCAAGGCATTGTGCTACTGTGCAGGGCCTCTGGCCTGGCAACCCAAACCCTCCCTCCCTCCCACTTCCCAGGAGACTCCTCTTTACTTTGTACCATTTAGCCTGGGGTAGGCAATGGAGAAGGTCACCAAGATTCTGCTGGTCTGTAATCCTGACTTCTGCCTAGTGATGCTCCCCACTCCCTCCTCTCTTCCTCATACCAGCCACATCCTGCATCCCAGCTGGGTGGCCTCCTGAAAATCTTTTCCAAACTCCTTATTGTAGAGGAGGAAACGTAGAGCGCCAGAGCAGGGAGGTGATCGGTCCAAGGTCACGCGAACCAAGGCCAGCCCCTGCATTTCCTGAGTGTTGGCCCAGTGTATTTTCTGGGTTCATATGACTCACATTTTTTTCAACTTCATCTCAGGAATCTTGAGGCCACGTGGCTCTGTGCCTTCAGAACAGATGGCCTTGTTAGATCTCATCCCTAGCGTGGGATGCCAGGTGAACCGGGCAGACCTAATAGGCCCCAAGGGGGGCCTCAGCTGGTGCTGGGTGTGGGAAGGGGCTTCTTGCAACCCAAGACTCCCCTACCATACCACAGGCTATTCCTGTGTCCTGGAGGGTCCCTACCTGGCCAATGACAGCATTGGAGGCTCTCTTGGGTGGAGGGAGATAGAGCCTGGAGCCAGGAGGACGTCCTCGCTCGAAGCAGATGGCACATTTGGCGAACTGTGCCCTCCATTTTGTTCTTCCAGAGACCCTCTGATTCCACAGTCAGCCAAGAGCGCATCCCCACCCCACCATACACCGTTTATCCCTGCAAGAAATGCTAATGACACTATTCATTCACTCTCCTTGCCACTTGCTCCCCACCCTTCTCTCCAGTCGAGGCCACACAACCCCACCACACTTCTGAAGGCCCTGCACGGCAGCACCTGGCCGTCTCCAGGCCTGCTGCCAACCTGGCACCATGCATGCGCAGCCCCACTCCAGCGCCCTCCCCTGCAGCAGCCGTCTTGAGATGCAGCCTCCGGTCCTACACCTTCTCCTAGCTTCTATTCCAGCCTTCTCAAGCTTGTTGTCATTCCCCTGGATTTGTGGGTGTTCGTGGACGTGGACCTGTGTGGGAAGCAGCTAGCAGGCATGCAGCCCTCCCCACTGCGCGAGCCTGGCACAAGGCATGCTGCTGGAACGGACGTGGCCGGCCGTGTGGACACCAGTCTGGCCATCTTAGCCCGTTGGCTGCCCTGTTATGGGCAGGGAGAGAGACAGGACGGGAAGTTCAGGAACCCTCCTGCTTTTTAGGCTACAGGGATGGATATTCCTTGAGGGTTTGTAACCACCCTAGACCAGAACGAGAACCCAACCCTTTCTTTCCTCTTTCTCGGACACATGGACACACACATAAACCCCAGCCTGGCTACCTTTTTGCGAATGCTGTTTCCCTCCAAGTTATGTGCTTCCCGCCCCCTTCTCATATCTGGCAAAATAAGATCCCTCAGAGCCAGTTGGAGTGAGCCTTTCCCGGAATTCCCCCACGCAGAGGTGGAAAGGTATCCTCTGAGCTGTTTATTTATAACAATATTACACTAAAGAAAGAAATTTGTGGATTCTACCTCCACCCCTTACCAAGTTATGAATTCCTCCAGGGCATATATTTATCGCCCATCCTTGAATTCTTAGCTGGGACCTGGCACACAGTTGATGTCCCCTGAAAGCCTGCAGAGTCCAACTGAAGTGGAGGATGGGCATTGTTTAGCAGGTAGGTTGGGAGAGGCCAGGATATTTGACAGTTTTCATCCTACACAAGACTGCCTAGGCCTAGAGGGTCCAGAATCCCTTTCTGGAGCCAAGTTTCCTCTCAAGAGAGAGTCTGGGTAGCAGTTCGGGTCCTTTGTGGACTTCTATGTGGTCTGTAGACCTTTCTAGATGACTTGGTTCTTCGCTGTCTGCCCTAGGCTTTTCCTGCACACACTGCATTTCCCTAATTAGTCTGTAAGCTTTATTTAGGCAGAAAAAGTGCCAATGAATCTTACTGTTTCAGCCTTGGTTCTGAGCACGAGAAACTCCACAGTTCAGTATCTGTGGGTTCAAAGAACCTGACCATTTCAATTTCAAAGGGAGCAGTTAGATTTCTGGTCTAACTAGGAATCAGTTTTCATGAAGGGTATGCATTTAGGGGATGCTCGCTAAGTATAAACTTTGGGATAGCTCTCTAAGGAGTGTCTTAAGAATAAGATATTTTCTTTGCCCATCTTCTCGGCAAGTAAGATGTAGGGAGTGAGGGCCAGGGTGGTAAAATAGCTTTAAGGTATTATTCTTGACCTGGACCTGCGTACATTGTCAGGCTTATGCAGGGTATTTTCCATATGACTTTATTTCCTCTGCTGTGAAGCTTGTTGAAATGTATGAAATGAATTGTTTCACAAAGTTAACATGGTCTTCAAGAGAATAGATACATGTACAGAGCACACATACATACCCATCCATGCACCTGCAGATGTAGATGCCAGTAGCACTGAGGGACTTGCTAAACCCCAAGGGAACCAGCACATTGTGTGTATAAGAAGGCTGCGGGATGCTCCTGTAAAGCCAGTGTAAATCTAACCCCTCTGGCTGAATGAGGCAGAGAGAGTAGAGGAAGCTGGCACATTCTGGATGGGATAATGGGATGGTGATGGTATGACTGTTGTTCAGGACTATGGGCTCAGACACCATCCCCACCCAGGAAGCCGCAGGAGCTGTGCTTCCCAAAGGCCTCACTGAAGGGGTGGAAGTTGTAAGCAGGTGCAGGAGGGTCTTGTCCAGGCCGTAGCACCAGTTGCTTTTAGCCATATTAACGTATTGACTTGAAGCAGGAGCCTTGGAGAAACCAGCTGCAACTGGATGAATGAAGCAGGGGAGGAGGAGGCTATGGTGAAATGGGCCCTGTTGTCTATAATAAGCGAAAGCGAAAGGTAAGCAGGAATATAAAAGGGATTCTGGACATTAGAGGCCCAGCTTAATCCAATTTCTTAAAAACTGTTGTGTGCTACTGTTCCTGGGGAGATGTAAAAACCTCCAAAGCTTTCCCCACCAGAATGCGGGGGTAGGGTGGGGGGGGCTGGGAGGCTGTTTCACTTGCTTCCAGAAACCCCTCTTCCCCATACTTCCCACCATTATACACGCTCAGGAAATTGGAGGGCAGTATGCCCTCTAGAGAGGCAAAGGGAAAGGGAAGTCCAGCAGCCCAGGTTCCACTTGGAAACCTGCCAAGTTGCTTACCTGGGCCAGGTAAGGAGAGGGAGGAAGCTTCCAGGGCTAGGGGCAGTCCATGCAGGGAATAAATTACTACAAGGGAGGGAATATTAGGACTTGTCCTGCATTGGGTATGCTTTAGGGTGGGGTGCACAGACATGGAACACAAGCTCTGAGGGGACTTTGGAGGAGCATCCCAGCTACTGTTGGGGTTTACAGGTGTGGAAGCTGAGAGCTAAAAGGACCTGACAAGGCCAAAGTCAAACTGTAGCCTCCCTTGGACTTCCCAAAGTTTCTTATTTGTGATTGCTTATGATGGGAATGAGTCCCTGCTTATGATGGGAATGAGTCCCTGCTTCTGCCCTTCCCCTAGACATGGTAGGAGAGAGAGAGCCATACTGCAGCCACCCCTGGCTCTTTGGAGCTGGAAGCAGTTTGCATTATCACCCCAAGGAGTAGAACCAGCTGTGACCCTCATCAGCCACCAGGTGTCACTGAAGTGTCTGTCTTAGAGATGAAGGCTAGTTCCCAATGTGGAAGAGGCTTCTGGGAGATTTCCAGGTACTCCTCCCCTTCTTCTCTATTTCTTAAGAACTACCCTTAGGCGTTGGGAATGACTGGGTCACTCACATAATAGAAAACATATGGTGCCCTTTGACCCTCCACTGTGAACACTGTTCCCCAGGGCCTTGGGTCTCTTGTTAAGTTTAGGTAAGGGTGACTGCAGGACTCATCTACATCCACACAGACCCATTCTGGGGCTTTGACCCCCAGCCATCATCCACTAGTTAAATTCTAGTTCCTTGAGTCACTCTTCTCCTTGGCTGTTCCTTTCTGAGGCCCAGTCAAGAGTCTGTGTGCTGTTTGCCCTGGAATAGGAAGAAGGCAATAGAGGGAGGGGCTGAGATGGCCAGATACCCATGCTTCTAGGGAACCCTGAAACTCCACCCCATCTCAGTCATTCCCTCATACTTCCTTCCTGGAGAATGTGGGCCAGTAAGAGCAGGGCAATATCTGGGGCCAGGGAACAAGGTGGCAGAGCAGCAGTTTTGGAAGAAAGGATCCTTGGACGAGGAGGGCTGGGAGAGCTGGGTCTTAGCCTCTTTCAGGCAGAGCTGTCCAAGATGGAGAGGTCCCCGGCAGAACTTTCCAAAGTTCACCTCTGGGATGTCCCAGACTATCTGCTGCTTCTTACTTGGTCAGGACCAAGATTAGATGTCAGTCCATGGCTCAGCCTTTCCTGGAGAGTGGAGGGGTGTGTCTGTTGTCTAGAGCTGTGTTTCTAAAACAAAGGGAGACAAAAGACGACCACAAGTTTGGGCAGTAGGGGAACCTTTGAACTAGTTGGAAAGTCTTGCTTTAGAGCTGTACCAGAGCACATGGCAATTCCCATCTTCAGAAAAGGTAAGGCTGGGAGCAAGAGAGGGAAGCAGAGGAAAATGGTGAACATCAGAGCCTGGGCCATCAGCCTTCAAGTGCCATTGGAGGAGGTCCAGTCCTAGGCAAGGCCTAGATGACCACAGACTGCAGGAGGCGGAAGCACATCATGAGGTCTAGTGGGATGGGTGGCTTCAGAAAGTTCCCGTCCAGCCGCAGGTAACGCAGGTGGGGTACATTCTCCAGATCCGAGGAGAAGTCATGGAAGGCCACTAGGTTGTTGGGGCAAATCTGTGTCCCGTTGATTTCTATGGAGAAAGAAGGGGAGAAGTCAGCTGCAGAGTACGGGGCAGCACGGTGATGAAGGAGAAGGCAAAGGCAATTAAGGGTGCCGACTCTATAGTTCTCTGGACAGACTGACTTTGGGAAGGTGTGACCACAGATGGGTCGCCTAACCGTCAGGGATGGTTTACTCATTTGTAAATGATTTACAATGGATGATCAACTGCTGCATTCCTTGTAAGAACTGTTTTATTCAAGGACCAGAAAATACTCTTTCTTCTATTTCTGAATCTTTCTGCTGGTGCTCTACTCAGAGCTGGCTCTCCCCCCTCCCAATCCCCCAGGTTGGTCTTGAATTCTCTCTCTATCCTCTTGCCTTAGTCACTAGAGGGTTGGGATTACAGGCATGTGCCACCATGCCCACTTTACATTTATTTTTTTGAGACATAATCTCATGCCAAAATTGCTTTGAACTTTCTATGTAGGCAAGGCTGACCTTGAACTTCTTTCTGATCCTCCCATCTCTGCCTCCTAAGAGCTGGGATTCCACATATGAACCACCATGCCTGACCTGACACTTTTATTGAAGCAAAACTGAGGTTCCCAGCCTCATATCCTAGGCTCCATTTGACATCCCAAGCTCAGAATTCTCTTTTAAACCACTGTTTTATTCAACTGAACATTGCAATCTATCATCTAGACTCAGAAAGCACATGAACAACTTGCCCCAAGCTGCTCCATCTTTACCAGCTGTATGCCCTGAATATATAGCTGCCTCTCTGGATCCTTTTATAGACTTCTCAAAACCAAGGCTCAGATTTGGGAAAAAGTTCCCTGCCACGTGGCTGTTGTTGGCTTCTTTTGCAGTGGGCAGCCCCAGGACATGCCACAGTGAACATTTTGAGGTTTCTTTTCTACTTTTAGGAGACTGTCCAGCAGTATTTTCGATGTCTATCCTATTACAGATGCAGAAGCCAGAGAAACCGGTGCTGATGAGATGTGGAGGAAAAAAACCTTGTGCTTTCAATATTAAATGAGCAAATTGTCCTATCAGCCTTGTGCTAGAAGGCATTGTTACCATCCTCATTTTGCAGGCAAGGAAACATTCCATAGAGGTCAAATATCTTTTCAAGGTTATACAGATGCAGCAAATAGTAAGGCTAAGATTTGAAGACCAGAGTCAAAATGAGTATAATTTTTTTAGTGCTGAGGATAGAACCTGCGGCCCTATGCATGCTAGAAGGAGGTCTACCACAAGGCTACACCCCCATTCTAGTGGATGCTTCTCATTTCCCCACCCCGGTGCTCCTGAGAAAAGGTAGAGGTACTGAGTCTCTGCCTTCCCCCCATGACCTGGCCCTGGCCCCACTCCCACATACTCTCAATATTGTTGTTGTTGAGGTATAGATGTTCCAGTTTGTTGCTGATGGCTGGCACGTTGCTGATCTTGTTGTGTGACAGGTGGAGCACAAGCAAGTTGGAGATGTTGAAGGAGTTCTTGGGGAGTCCCCGATCTGACAGTTTGTTGTAGTTCATCCGGATGAAGGCAAGGTTGGGGAAGCCCTTGAAGTATCCATTGGGGATGGTCTCAATCTTGTTGCTGTCCAGGTAGAGCTGATGAATGGCTGAGGGGACCTTGGGTGGCATCTTTCTCAGGATGTTGTGGGCCAGATTGAGCTGCATGAGGTTCTTGAGACCATGGAAGGTGTCAGGCTTGAAGACACCATCACTCAGCCGGTTGTGCTGCAGATCCAGAAGCAGCAGGTTCTCTAGTTTGCTGAAGACGCCAGGCGGGATCCTGGAGATGTGGTTCTGGCTCAGCCTCAGCTGTTCCAGGTTCCGGGGCAGAGCTGAGGGGACCTCTTCCAGCTGGTTCTTCTCCATGTAGAGGAATGACAGACTGGGGAGCTTCTCCAGCACCCTCTGGTCCACCTTGCGAATTCGGTTGTTGTCCAGGTTAATCCACCTCAGGCCTGTGGCATTCTTGAAGGACTCCACAGGGAGGTCAGTGATGAAGTTGTTCTGCAGGTAGAGGTAATGGATACGGGGTGGAATGACAGGGACCTTTCGCAGGTTGCGGCTGTCACAGTAGAGGGCCGATGGGAAATCAGCAGGGCAGTAGCATTCCCGAGGACAATCAGGGAAGACAGATGGAGGGCCAGGAGGGAGGGGTGGAGGCAGGTCTGTAGGCTCTGCTGGCTCATGGGGCTGAGGAAAGCTGGGTGTGGGCCTTGGCCTGGGCTTACGCCTGGCCCCAGGTTTTGGTTGTCTTGTTAACTGGCCTTGGGCCACTGAGGCCAAGATGAGAAGTGGAAGGAGCCAGCAGAGGGATGACCTCATGATCCAGGTGATGTACCTGCAGGGAGGACAGGTAGTCGTTAGCTCATGGGGCTTCTGGAATCGATGGTATTTCTCCGTAGTAGGGCTCCTCAAGACTAGCTCCCGGGGAGAGGGGCCGAGCCAAGGACCTGTAGAGCAGACGAGGGATCCAGGGCTATGGAGCCCCTGCCAGAGGCCTAGCCATGCCATGGATTCTGCTTCTTGGGAGAACATGAGAACCTTGGAGACCCTTCACCTCAGTGGCCCACCTCACTCCAGTTGTAGCTTGAGAAAATCATCCTTTATAAAGGATGCTTTTATAAGGAGGGTTCTCTAGGCAGTGCTCTGCCATGGAGCTACCCTCCAAACCAGTGGACAGCTTTTATCTTCCCTAGCCCCTGAGAAAACTTTCCCTGCCTTTATAAAGGGAGGTATTAGGCTATGGCCCAGAGTCTTGAACAGTAGATTTTTCTTTTTAAATTAATTCCATACAGCAGTGGTTGCAAACTGTGTTTACATTCCTGTGCACCCCTCTAAAAAGGCACACTGAGAAAGAAGGACATCCCCCCAGGTGAATCCTGTGCCAGCATAAGCAGATCTGTTCTTTAAATTTGTTATAGAGAGATAAAGATAGAAACACATGCGCACATGCACAGAATGGGGGTGGTTAGACAAAGCATTTTAAGAAAACATTTCATTGCTAAAAATGATCTGAAATCCACCAATCAGGTCCATCCCCCACTGTTTATAAAACAGACTGGAGGGAAAAAGTGGCTTGCCAAGGCCAGGAGGCCATTTGACAGCAAGCACAGGAAGAAAATTCAGGAGCTCTCCTGGAAGGGAGAGCCCATGATGGCCCATGCTTTGCCCCCCGCCCCCCGCATTTGGCCCAGAGAGTGTTGGCCTTTGCCAGTATGAGCCATGCCAAGAATTTCTCCCCAGATGTAGAGGCTCCTGGGAAAACAAACAGGAAAGGAATAGAAAGACGTGAGGAAAACACTCCTTTCTTTAGAACTGGTATTGTCACTCCAAATATTTTGGAATTTGTTATGTTGAGACAGGGTATTGGGAGAACTTCTGGCTAGCCTCAGTGACACTGAAATCAGGAGCTGGAGGGGTTTGGAGGTGGCTCTGCTGACCCCTTAGATAGAGCCATGTGGTTGGAGCTGAGTTGAAAGTGGAGAAATACCAAAAGACCCAGGATGCATCTTGGGGGATGTCAACTCCCATGGCCTTCCCCGTCTGGCCTGGGCTGGAAAGGGTCCAGGGAGAGGGTGCCCTATACCTTCTATCCTTATGACCACCTTCTTCCAACCCTGGAGATTCTTCCCAAATCACATTACTGGCTCACCTTAAATCTTCCTCACTGTTGTGGCTGTCCATTGGCCTGTCCTAGACTTTAGGGTTGCAGTCTTCTTGGGGTTCTCTAAGACAGAGTAGGCTGGAGTGTGTCCCTAGCTTATAAATGGACTCTGTGATCATGGCTGCCAGCCCAGGCCTCTTGCCTTCTCCCACCTACCCTTTGAACCCATATCAACTTGAAATCTTCCTTTGATTTTCTAGGGACTACATTCTGCTGGCTGTGATCAAAGGAAGGTGGGAGGAATTCCTCATCTGAAGATTCCTGGGTCAGATGCTTTAGAGGGAGTGCATGTGACAGGTAACATGCACATACTACACATGTGCACATGTGTGCACACACACATACCCCTTTGCCCTCAGCCTGTACCAGTCTTGTACACACACACACACACACACACACACACACACACACACACACACGAGTCCTCTCCTATGCACACAGACAAACTCGTATTCCAGGGCCTCTGTATACACATGTAAGCTTTGTGAGGTAGCCTGGGTGGGAAGGAGGGTAGGACAGGCGAGGCAGAAGCACCTTGCTTGATATTTCTCTCTCCCATCTGAGGGGGTCTCTGATAAGACTAGGTCTGACAATTCTTTCAAGTATATCCTGAAGGGCATTTTCCTAGGCCTTCTGTGACAAAGGAACTTTAGTTAGGTTCTTGACTTATCTACAATGAGGATCCATGAAAGGACTAAAAAACATGTTCTTTACAGCACTTGAACTTGATCCTCATTACTAAACTCCACATCATTTATAACTGGTGTGTTATGAATTAACATTTTTATAAGGCTTGTAATTTTCTTGAAAACAAAAGTCATCTTACATAGAAATTAAGAGGGTAAAGGATTATTATTCTAAAAACATTTTTAAAGTACCAATTTTTGTAATTCTGATTTGTTTTTTTAAATCTCTTTGTTTACTAATTACTCACAACTATGTAAATAAGCAAAAATACTCTCCTGCTGTGAGAAATCCTGCCCCAAGGCTGAGACTAGTCAGCTTCCCTTTGTTGCCCTTGTCACCAAAATCACACCCAAGACATGGGTGAAGTTGGGCAATCAAAGCTTGCCTGAGGGTCCAGCCATGCCTGACTTGTAAGATACTGTGGCTTGGATGGTTGGCCTACTGAGGGGTGGGAGTGGGGGCTCAGTGTCTCTGTGTTAAGCTCTATTGTCAGGGCATCACCAGTAGCAAGGCCAGTCGGTTCTTTCTGCCCCCTTTCGGCACAGGGCACCCAGGTCTTCCTCTAGTGCCAGACCTTCTGGAACTTACCTTATCTTCTCATTAGTTCTTTTTGATCTTTTCACATTCTGGATTTCAGCCACATCCCTCCCTCCCTGGGGCCAAGAGGGGAGTTTTCCTGGGATAAGTGGATCATCCCTCCCCTGTTTCAGTCCTGGGACTGAGCCAGAGCAGATCTGTGTGCAAAGTGCACTAGGGAAGGGTTCCTTTCCAAGGCCTTCCCCACAGACACACCCCTTCCTACACAGCCCAACTGTCCTAGGCCTCTGGGAAGTTCATACTGCACAGCATTCTTTCTAGACATGCTCTGCTAGCCTGGGTCGCTGCAGACAGAAGCTGAGTCAGACTGGAGGTAACCCCACTCTAGTGGTATGTATAGTCCCACCCACAAGTCCAGAGTTAGGGTTCTGTGCTCCTCCTTCCAGACTTTGTGCTGGTCAATCATGTCCCTTAGGGTGGGGCATGTGTGTGTGTGTGTGTGTGTGTGTGTGTGTGTGTGTGTGTGTTAAAAATTGCTTATGCCTCTGCAAGCATACTTCCCTAAGTCCCACCCCCTGCTGGTCCCTGCTCACCCTCAGTCAATGCACATTTGTTGACCAGGTACCTCGGCCAACCTCATACAGTCCCACTTTCTAACACTGGCTCTCAAAAAGCTGCTGTTTCATGGAGGGGAAGAGCACATTCACCTCTCCGTTTAGGAGCCTTTCCTAAGAGAGCTTACAATTCAACTTTTAGTTCTAATACTGTGGATATGGGCTTGAATCCTGCCTCTGACTCTGCTCCTGGGCCTTGGGCTTGACATCTTTGTGAGGACAGGATGAGCTCATGTGTCTGAAAGCATGTTCTAGAAGGCAAACTGCAAAGGACAAGGACAGTTTGTTTGCAGAAGAGTGGACTGAGAGGTTCCCTGAGTTTAAAGTGGGATGGTCCTCCTTCCTACGGTCCTGTTCCTCTAAGATAAGAACCCATGGGTCATCAATGACTACAGCAGCACCAGGCTGAGGTCCAGTGGGTCTGTCAAGCCCAGGGGAACAGGTTTAATGACCCTTCATTCTGTAAGGAGAGGCTGGGGCTGGGTTGAGCCCAAGGTTGGATTACTTCTTAAGGTTGGGCAGGGTTACTCCACACTGTAAACTAATGTTCTTCCTTGTCAGATTTCTTGTCTAGCTGATCGCCATAGGCTGCTCATGACTTAACAGGCCAGCTACCTTGCCCTGAGTCATGTTGGTGGATACCCTTGCTCTGCCCTCCCTTCTTCCCCCAAAGTTAGACTTCTGAAGCCACATGCTGCTTCATGTCTCCCTGCAGCCCAGAGTGCAGCTGGAAACAGGGAAAGTTGGGGGTGTCCACCCATTGTTACAGAGAAAGGAGCTGGCATCCAGTTTGCCCAAAGTACCTATACCTATAGTATAGGTACTGATACAAGTCTAACACTATTGCAGAGTGACCAGCTGTCTCCTCAGTGTGCACAAGGCAAATGTAAACAGAATGAAGGTTTTTATGGTTTTAGGGGACTAGCCTCAAAGAGTAAGCTCCTATTCTGAGGGATGAGGAAGAGAGAGAGAGAGAGAGAGAGAGAGAGAGAGAGAGAGAGACAGAGACAGAGAGAGATCCCCTGATACCCTGCTGCATATCATATTCACCTGTCTACCTCTCTCCCCAGAATCCTTAACTCTTGACAAAAGCCAAGAAGAATCTGTCTGAGGCTGAGTGTGGTTTTAGTATGGTTATAGATACCCTGCAACTATTTAGCGGGGTACCACTGCACAAATCTTATTTTCTATAAAATGAGCACACTGACTGCTTTTTTGTGGTCCTAGGACTCAAAGCGAGGACTTTGTGCAGAGCTGCATCTCTAACTGACTTCTTATTGGGTGTTGTGAGGGTTAAATGTGCAGAGTGAGTGTTCATTGAGTAATAAGGATGGCTGCTATTATTTTAAAGCAATGGGTCTTTTTCCCTTCAGCCTGGTTGGGTAGCAGTTCCCGTGCCCTCATTGTGGAGGGTAGGGATCCTTCTTATAGTATAGGTACTGATACTTTGACTCAGAGCAACTCCTTTCCCTTTGTAGCTGGGAACCACACTAGGAACATGTCTCTCCTCTCTGCTGGCTGCAGGTCCCACTGAGATCTAGGCTTTTCCCAGTCTGTTTTTTTTTTTGCTTCTTCCAGTGTTGAAGGGGCAAATAACTGGAGCAGCCCTTCAAGGAGGTGAAGGTGGGTGGGAAACTTATCATCAAACAGTCCATTCTCTGAGAAAGCCCCCCAGGACAGAGCTGGGGGCAGGAGGAAGGGAATCTGGAAGGGACAGAGACCAGTTTCTGGGTGCCGGAGGCAGGCAGCCTAGCAGGTAAAAGGAAATGTCAACTCATTGGAGCGTCGTGTTCAGGGGACTTTCTTTCTAGAATAGTCTCTGGGAATATGGCTATTTGAACTTTCAAGGATGATGGTCAGGGGTGATTATAGGATATTGCCCCTATTTCCTCCATGGTCACTCCCACTCCCCACTTTTGGGACCTTGAGGCTCCTTTTCCAGGAAGCCACACAGTTCTGCAGTGAATACAAGGAGAGTCTCAGCCCTGGATAGACCCCATTTTGTGGGTCTGTAGTGAGTGTTCAGCCATATGTTTTAAACAAACCTCCCATACCACCCATTTCTCCCCTTACTTCCTGCCCAGGAGCTTTTGAAGACCAGTTATGCTTGGTACTTTGCCCTGCCTTACCCTGCCTGCTGCCATGGGACCTCTCTATTGTTGAAGAGGGAGCTATGGAAACAGGGTTCAGTTTCTCCTCCTGCTCCCCCTCCTCTATTGCAAAGCCCCTTTACCAACTGAATGGTCAGAGTAATTTCAGAATAACTTCAAAAAGAAATGTTTTTCTGCCTACCTGCAAGAACAAGGAAAACCAATAATTTGGAATTAGGATTGCCAAGACTTCCAGCCTAGGTAGACTTCTTTTCTTTCTTTGCAAAAACCAAGTGGTTTGGACCAAGGAGATAAGAATTCAGGCTGCTGAGAAGGTTGAGAGCCACTTTTTCTCTCCCTCCTATCCAATTAAGCTCAAAAGAAGGAAGCAAATCTCCTGCTTGCTCATCTCCTCTCTGCTCAGCCAAGACACATGATTTTCTTCTGGCTGTGCTGTCTCAGCGGGAGGACACACTTTGTCTTTGCTCCTGCAGCTGGGGAAGCATGTGAGAGGGTGAGAGACAAGATCCTGTGTGTGTGTGTGTGTGTGTGTGTGTGTGTGTGTGTGTGTTCAGCCATGTGACAGTACATGAAAAATGTAGAGAACTGGTTGGGTTCTAGTGTCTGGTTTCTATGGCAACACCTGATCTGTTGAAATTCTGTGTGCGACATAGCTCTCCATGCTGCAACAAACATTTGTACCAAGAAAGTTTAACTTTAGCAGCAAGCAAGCACGGGGGTATAGGATGCTAAAGAGAGAACAGGGAGTAGATAAGAGACAAGGTGGCTTAATTTGAAGTCTTTGGAGGGGAAAAATGGGAAGGAAAGAAAGGAGGGGGATGAGGAAAAGACAGAGCCAGAGGAAACCCCTGGGGGAAGGAGCCTTCCAGCCTTCAGTCTTCTTCCCACTGCCTGTGCTTACCTGCACACACCTGCCTCTCCTCTGGACTCTGGGGCAGTCCTCCTCTTCCTCCCTACCCTTTGGTGGAGCTGTGGCAACAGAGAGCCAGCTAGAAGTTCTGGTCTCCCAGTGGTGCGTGCCTGTGTGTGTCTGCCTACTTTCTTCCACCAGCTCCTACTGGGGTGGGGAGGTTAGGTTAGGGGAGGGAGGGGCCCACTGAAGGGAGGGGGAGGCAGAGAGGAGGAGGGAAGAGAGCAGAGAGGGAGGGCGCTTGGGAAAGGAGGAATGACAACAATAAAGTCTTTATTTGGCAGCCAAAACTCCACAGACCTCATCCACACCCGATACCCACTAACGGCTCACTAATAATGTTTCCTGCTGCTGCTGCTCTGGAGAGACTATTTGACTGAGGTTTGGAAAACAAGCCAAATGAATGAAAGAAAAGGCCGAGGAAGCACCTCTGCCTGCTCAGACTCGGCGGGTCACTGGGTCCAGCACTGGTTTGTTGAGGTCCTCCTAACAAGTGCCTTGCTTCTGCTGCTCTCTCTTCCCCGGTGTTCAATCTCCAACCCAGTGAGAGCTTGGGATGCTTCTCGGAGCAGTGACCCTCCTTCCCTGTGTCTTCTCCAGGAGCTTGCTAAGGGAGCCAAGTCTCACAACGTGGTGAGGTGGCATAGGAGATAACTTTGGTTTGGTGATCAGAGGTCCAGTCTGAAGATCAGAGAGGGAAAAGTCTGGCCTGGAGATCACTCAGCAAAATTAAAGCAGAATTCAGATCAAATATAAGTCCTCAAGTCATTGTTCCTAGTTCACGTGGACTGTGTAGTTGTCATACAGTGATGGGGAGGTCCAAGTTTCCCTAGGGCATATCAACTGCCTAAAACGTATTCAAGAATCTCTATTACCTTAACAGTGCTCTTCAGGCCAGCAAACTTGGAGTTAAGGAGCAGGCCCACAAAACTACCTACTGACTACTCAGAACCTCAGGGGAATACACTTATTTATCATAATGTCAACAGAGACCTGCAAAGCCCATAACAGGCTCTTCCCACTGCTCCTCAGCAGCCCTGGACTCTGCTACTCACATGCTGTGTGATCTGGGCACGGTGCTTGGTTTTAGATGCCTGTTTCCTCATTTGTGTCTCAAGGCATGCCTGCCTCCCAGGTTGGAAAGATAGATGATTGTGTATATGAGGCACTTCAGAAGCTGGGAAGACAACAGGGCTTCAGTAGAGTAATGTTGTGGATGATAACCAACCAGAAAAAAGAAGGCAAATAGAGCCCACTCTGCCCCACACCCCTGCCTTGCCACCCTGCTTGTGGGTAATATATCCATTCACGGGATCTAACCAGATCCCAAGAGCCTATGCTTGGGAGTGATGGTGACCATCTTCCAAGTCCTACCCAAGCTGTCTCCTTCCTCCCTTCTTGTGCCCCTGTCCCCAGGCCACCCAGATAGAGTGAAGACAAGGTACCACCAGAGACATTCAGGAAGGTCTAGAGTACAGCTTGGAAATTGGTGGCCTGTGGCCATTACATGACACACTCATTCAAAAAATTGTCATCATAGAAATTTAAAAACATACACATTTACATTCTGGATTTTTTTTAGTACTAGTGGGTCAATTCCAGGGCCTTGCATGTGCTAGGCAAGTCCTCTACCACGAGCTGTGATCACAGCCTTCATATATACACACTTACATAGGAGATCATCAACCCTATTACCTCTTACCTAGCTCATGAATTACCAACTCATGCTGGTGCGGTAGCTCATGCTGGTAATCCCAGCACTTGGGGGCTGAGGCAAGAGGAGTGTTAAAATTTCAAGGCCAGCCTGGACTGCAGAGTGAGACTGTCTCAAAAACTAACTAGTAGGGCTGGAGAGATGGCTCAGTGGTTAAGAGCACTGGCAGAAAACCCAGGTTCAATTCCTAGTACCCACATGGCAGCTAAGAAGTACCTGTAACTCCAGTTCCAGGGGATCCAACACCCTCTTCTGACCTCAGCAGGCATTGCATGACACAGGTGCACTTACATACAAGTGGACAATACACTTATACACATAAAATAAAAATAATAAAATATATTTTTTTTAAAAACTAGTGAACTAACTAAACAGCAATTACCAACCCACATCTAATCTTGTTTCTTTTGTGCCTACTCCCCAAACCCTACTGGTATATTCTGGAGTGTTCATATTTTTGTTTCTTTTGGATTTGAATGTTTTTAGGCAGGGCAGGAATTTCTCTGTCCAACACAGTGGACAGCCCTCTCTGTTGTCTCGGCTTAGAGTCGGGGCCCAGCCTTCTCTACTTGACTCTGTTCTTGGAGACTCTTGAGTTTGCAGCCACTGGTCTCCAGGCAACTGTTGAGTGTGGAAGTGAAGTGGGACAGCTAATACTGTAAGGGCAAGGGTGTCGGGTCATGTCAACAACCTGCCCTTCTCATCCCCTGGACAAAGGATAGAGCAGCCTCCTGTCGGGAGACAGAGGGCAAAGGTGATGAGACCTGGCTTTGGCTCTTGCATGCTGTGTTACCTTGGAGATGTCCCTTTCAATCTCTGACTTCATTATTTGTAAAGCTTGAGGTTATATTAGGTGAGACTTGAACTCTCTTCCAATAACATTGTGAAGAGTCTGAGACGTGGAGTCAAGACACCTGGGTTAAAATGTCAGCTCTGTTCCTCTTGATACCTGGCAAACAGATCTGAGCCTCAGTTTCCTCATGTGAGCTTGGAAGGTAATAACCTCCTTTCCCTCCTGGCTTTTACCCAGGATCCTGGGAGGTTCACCAGAAGGGAGGCTGGAAAAACATTGTTCCCAAGCTAGACCCTGACCCCTGCAAAGTGAGCCTCCCCAGCTCTCCTAGAGTGTTGAAGACACAGTGGAGTGGCTTCACCCCTGGGAAGTATTAACCTCCTTCTCCTGTGTGGCACTTGTGGACATATCCTGAGAAGTACAGTATCCAGGCTGCAGCCACCAGGAGAAGTCCAGCAGCATGGCTGGGACAGAATGTAGGGACCCAGGCTTGGCAGCCCCCACTGTGGTGGGTTTCGAATGCTTTTCCCGAGTCTGGGACTGCCTACTCAGACCACCATCCATCTGGGGCTCACTGTTCCTTAGCGCTCAAGGTAACGGCTGCCTTGGCTACCACAGTGAGCACTGGAGAGAAGAAAGGGCAGATTGTGTGACGTCCCTCCAAGTGCAGAGAAGAGGGGCTGGCCTTACACCTTCCCCTGCCAGGAAGGGCAGGGTGGGCCTCAGGGGTTTTGGCTCAGACCTCTGGGTGGTCAACAGGCCCCACAGAGGCTGGCCACCCCTCACCAGTCAGCAGCGTTGAAGCTGTGGGAGTCCTTGGGCACCCATCCCACTGTCCAGCTGGGGGTCTTGGGGTCCTGGTGGGCAGGGGCAGCAGCCTGTTCATTGTGGCAGAGCCTACAGCACCCACTAAAGGTTTAACATACCTATGTGCTCAGTAGGGGGTCTATTTCATTGAGTTTAAGAGGGTTAAATAAGGAGTGTCTCTGTCATTTCTTAAAAAGCAGTTTTTGAATAAGTAATAATTATTTTGATTAGGAATCTAAAACGTATAGAAGGCTTCACAGGCCTGACTCTCATCCCCCAGCTACCTCCCAGAGACATCAGTATACAGTTTCTTGGGTCCTACTAGACTTATTTAATGTATGTATGAGCAGTGATAAACATCTTTGCACTTTTTTTTCTAGACCTGGGGATTGAAGCTGGGATTAGGCTTGTGCTAGGTATGTAGTCTACCATTGAGCTACCTCTCCAACCTTCTTTTACTTAAAACATTTTTGTTTGTTTGTTTGAAATAAGATTTCATTTCGTTGCTTAGATTGCCCTTGAACTTGTGATAGTCCTCCTTCAGCCTACCAAGTATCTGGAGTTACAGTCCTATTCCACCACACCTGGCTGCCATCTTTTCCCAGTCTGCCTCCTCCTCTTCCTCTTCCTCCTCCTCTTCCTCTTCTTCGTCTTCCTCTTCTTCCTCTTCCTCCTCTTCTTCGTCTTTCTCTTCTAAGACAGAATTTCACTTGGTAGTCCAGGCAGGTCTGGAACTTGCAGTCCTCCTGCTGGGCCCCTGCATACCCCTGACTGGCTTTTCCTCCCTTGCTGCTTTGCACTTTTGATTTCACCTACCAGCACATCTTGCCAGTCCTCCGTATGGGCAGAGTTCTTTGTTTCTCTCCATTTTTCCCTCCCATATTCATTTGACTAATCCCTTTTAATGGTTATTTGGGCCCTTTATTTTTTATTGTTCTTTTGTGATAGGGTCTCATGTAACCCAAGCTAACTTCCATTCACTATGTAGCCAAGGATGACCTTGAACTCCTCATCCTCCTGTTTCTACCTTTCAAGTGCTGGTATTACAGGTGTGCACCACCATGCTTGGCTTGGGCTTTTCATTTGGTTCCAGTACAGGGCTTGGAGGCTCCCATGTGGTTCCAGTACAGGCCCTGTTTCTTCTTTATGCTGACTAGGTGGCCTTGAACCACTCAAGTCCCTCATGAGTCTTTGTGTCCTCATGTGCATGTGACAGGTATTAATTATAGTCCATCAACTCAGCAGGAGAAAACACAACCATATCCTATGACTTCCCTTCCTCTGCAAATCTGGAGACAGAGGGCTTGTCTCATTGAAGTGGCCAACATTCCATCTCACCCTGGGCTTAACCTGCAGCCTTGCGAAGGCAGACTTGGTGGTGCTGGGCGAAGAGACCAGGTCTGTGACAAAGATATGCTTCTTGCTCCTGGTTAAGGGTGCTACAGAGCACACCCAGCCTCCTGTCTAGCCCAGCACAAAGACCCCCTCCTCCAGCCCCTTTGTAAGGGGCAGAAACTGTCTGCAGGGTGATCATTTTCTCTTGGAGGGCACACTGGGTACCTGGCATTTGTACCACAGAGAAGGCTGCTGGCCTTTTCTCTTACGCTCCACAAAACTCCTTCATTCTCCCTGAACCTGGCCTGGGGAAAGAAGTTTCCTTAATTCCCTTGTTTCTGACCAAGATACTGTGTCTGTACCCAGAATCTCCCAGGGCCTCAAGATTGTAGAAAATGGGGCCAAAGGCACTTGTCAACTACTCCCACTTCCTCCTCCCCACAGACCTCTCTGTTCATTTCAACAGAAGCAGGGTACAGGGCAAAGGAAGGGAAGGA